TTTAATGTAATTGCTTTTATTACTTAATAAAGTTTCTACTTTGGCATAACAAAAAAAAAAAAAAAAAAAAAAAAAAATTTCTTACTAATTGTTACTTAAAATTAACAAACTTTGGTCAAACTACCAATTTAGATGGTCTGATATAATATACTTCTGTATTTTTTTTCTCTGATAAATATAGTAACTTAGTTGGTTATATATTTTTCTAAATATATTTTGTATTCAATTTATCTAATTCATTCTTTTAAGAATAGTTTATAAACTTTAACCAGTCTGATAGTACTATTAAATGTTTATATTATTTTTTTATTTAGGAATTTCCAAATAGCTTTTTGTTGTTACAGTTTTTTAGACTTCTATATTTAGTAGTTTTATTACAAATTAGTACCAAAGACTTATATAACACCAGTAAGTATTTCTCTATATATATTTAATATTATATTTTATATAAATATTTTAAGCTTTCAAGTTACTAGATTTGTTAACTAATTAACAAAAAAATACAAATATAATTTTCAAATTTTATCATAAATGAAATTTGAATATTGGATCTGTCATTTGAAGAATAATAATTCAAATACTATATTAAGACTATTATTTACAAAATTAATAATTTATATAATAAAATTAATAATACTTATTTTATGGCTTCTAATTGATCACTTATGATTTTTTTTACTGTTATCTTCATGGTTTACATTACAATATTTAGTACTACAGTATAACTGATATCTTCATAGTTAATATCTTCACAGCTAATATCTTTATGATCAATATTGTTATAGTTGCTATGATAATAAAATAGTTAATACTTCAAAATTATATAGCTGCACAATTTTAATTTTATAAACTAATGCATTAGATTTTATTATAAGCATTTATTTAATTTACAAATTTAATATTAAGAAAACATATAAAGCATTAAAATTCTAATTTAATAATAAGTCCACTATTTTTGAATATTAAATATAATATTTGTAAAAGAACAGTTGTTAAAAACAATATTTGAGAGAATTTTTTTATTACTAGAATTAAAACTATTTTCTGTAAAATTCATATTATTTGTAATTTTCTACAATGGAGTTTGTGAATTTATATTATTATTGTTATCATTATTGTTTGCAGACCTATTTGTAATGTTAATTAAGATATTTATAGTATTAAGTTGTTGATTTTCACTAATTTGCTTGTAAGCATGAATTCCTTGAATGCTCTTATGTTCTCTAAGTTGCATAATTGCCTGTTCAGAAATGTTATGATCTTGTAAACATTGGACGGCAGTTTTTTAATCTGAATAGTTTGTAAATAATTCTATAAAAATATCAATTTATGTAATGTATCCAATTTTATGCATAAAATTCATTAATTTATTTTTTATATATGATTCTTCTTATACCAAATGCCTGATTTCATCTAATTAGAATTTGGTTATAAATAAAATTCTGAATCAGCTAAAGAAGGCTATCTGAATAAATAGAATTTTATATTATTACATAGTCCAACAGTATCCACAGGAATTAAAATAACTTGTACTTAACCTTTTTGAAGTCCATATTAATTATTTTTTGAAATGTAATGAAAAAAACTATAAACCATCTTGTTTATAAATTTTAAACTAATTAACTTTAAGTTAATAGTGTTTATTACTATGCATTGCAAGGAGAATTAATAAACATATAAAAATATAATATAATAGATTTACTGAATTGTTACAATCAATTTTTGGATGCTATAAAATTTCTTGAATTTGTTATGAATTTAATGCAATTGATCTCTTTGTTTCACCAAATCTATGTTTTTAAAAATCTTATATTTTTTTATATAAAACAGTATACAAATCCAGAAATAAATACCAATTATTATACATAAAGAACCAAGTTTATGACAGTCAGACTCAACATACAGAGCAGGCTATGGCACCCTTCACAGCTATGAGAGCTGAGCATATAGTGAGTGAATTTACAGAGAAATCCTTTACCTTCTTAAACCCTATTGCATTATTTCACTTTAAGGAAACATCACAAGGCCTATTATACAATACACTATTGGATCCAGATTCATGCTATAATAAATAGTTAGTCTATCTAGGCCTACTTCTACTTCCACATCCACAAACTCTTTATTTCTTTCTTGAGCATATATATTCTTACAATTATATATTATTTAATCTTTATAACTTTACACTAGCAATATCAATTAAACTAAACTATAGTAAATGCTATATACACTTATTAAACAAACCAGAACCCTTATTTGACTACTTCATTCTACAACAATCTGATTATGGATATTACCTTTCAATATCTATTTCTTCTAAATATTCTCTAGTATTTAATAATACACAATATACCAAACTTATTCTTGAAGATAATGCTATAAACTACACTTATATACAACTAATAGAAACTGTCTTATCTGGCTATGATGATACTGTTATTACTAATAAACATATTGGCTTTATACAACTTTACACATGTTACAATAAATTCTTAGTTTACAACCACCTTTCACTACTTCTATACTTACAAACAATTATCTCTTTTCTATGATATATTCATAATTTTGATTATTTACTAAGCAATGCTTGTGACTATACTCTAACTATTTCTATTAAAAATGATTACAGTAAAGCTTATGTCTACTTTCCATCTAAACCCAAACCTTTACCTAATCATTTTATTCTACCACTTTAAGCTATCTGGCATTATCCAAATATTCTACTAAAATCATATACAACAGAAGATAACTTTCTTAACTCAACAAATCAATATACTACAATATTAATACTGAACTCACCTTCTACATTTCCACTAGCACTTCAACAACCTTTATCTCTTTCCATTTCTTCACCATCATCAAGACTTCACACAAACTACTTATCTGACCTCTCACTCAATTTAAACATTGCAATTTATAATATTCAAGATTTTAATAATCCAGAAAAAAAGCTCTTAATAGAAGAATATTGCCTTCAAATAATTAATATATAATCAGCTTAACCAAAACCAAAATTGTAGAAACTAAAAACAAAAAGTTCTATAATAATTATTAATTCTATTATTACTAGTCAAACTACTTTACATTTAAAGAAAAAATATATGTTATAATTAAAAATAACTTACAACTACATATTCATAACATTTTTAACTATCCTAATGAAGTTATTGCAATAGACCTCTTTTTTAGACATAATTACAAATTTTGAATAATCTTAATATACTTATTATCAACAAACAATCTTGTTTACTAACAAACTCAATCCTCTATTATTACATGGATACAACAAGTACTTCAGCTACAACTACACATAATTATTCTTGGTAATTTCAATTCATCAATCCAAACTACTATATCAAATGCAACTAAATATTAACTACTAAATCATTTATATAGTATTAATATATATAACTTGGCAAACCACATAAATAATACTGATGCTACTTGGCAAAGTAGTCGATATACTAGCAGAATTAATTATATATAAGCAAGTGAATACACAATTCTAATTTTTAATAGATTCTATATTGATGACTCATTACAGATTACTAATAGTAATTATTAAATACTTATAGCACAATGAATCTTTTCTTTTGCAATAAACAAACCTAGAAGAAAAATAAATGCAAACATAGAACTTTTAACTATAAAGCAATAACTAATAAAAAATGGAAAGATTTTTTAAATCAAATTAACTCTAATATGCATCAACACAAAATTTTTGCAGAAATAGATATTACAATGTTACTAGAAAACTTTTGGCACAAAATCTATACTTGTATTATTAATGCAGCCTTACAACATATTCCTAACAAAAAACAAACAATTAAATACTCCTTTCACACCTTTAGCCCTAAAGCAACAGCATTATACAAAGATCTTAAACTTATTGAAAATATTATCTATAAAGTTAAAAACTCATTTAAACAAAACCTTATTATTTTTACACAAACTATAATTGATATTGATACCATCAATTACAAACATAACTTTGATATTCCAAACTTACCTGAAAATCCTTTACTATTATCACAATGAATTGATAATGCTAAGCAAGCATGAAAAGCTCTTTTTCATATATATAGTATTGAAAATACTCAAAATTTTAAATAGCATATCAATATAGCTATTAATAACAGATGTGAATAACTAATAACACAATCTACCAAAATGATAAATAATATTCTTAATAGACATAAAGATCCAGTACATTTTTACAATATTAAAACTAATAATAGTATTATAACTAATTCTACTAAAATACTCCAACATGTCCAACAACATTTTCAATACTAAACTCAACATCAACCTATTAATACTATGATATTTAATCAATATTGAAGAGAAGAATACCAATCTAAAGAGGTGTGGTGGCCTAGTGAAGTGGTCAGGTTGTCAACCCCTAAGTAGCAGGTCCAGAGTTCAAATCCCAATGTTGACAGAAAATTTGAAAATTCTCTCTGTATTATAGTTAACTGTCTCTCGCAATTGGTTGGAATAAGACATCTGTAATCTATGTCACACCAGCATGACTGGCAGGTCACATAGCATTTGTGTAACAGTCACATGACATTGTCCTTTAGGACAAGGTCTGTGGTTACACAAAGAAATATAAACTGGTACTGGGTGGTGCAAACCTACAATAAGTCCTTGTGGCCATGTAAATCATAGGAACCAATAGAAGAAAGATAGAAGTCCACTTGGAAGACCCAAGTAGAGAGATAACCCAAGCTTTCAACAGTGCTACTGTATAGACTAGACTTATGAAACAGAGCTAGAACAACTAGTACATATTCTCAACATAATAATAGAAGAAACAAAAGAAAAGGATAAAGAAGTATAGATATTTCTACAAGACATGAAAAAAAGCATTTAACTCAGTTCTATTTGAGAGTCTAGAACTAGCATTATGAAAGTTAAAGTACCTAAAAGAACAATAAGATACATTCTGAATTTGTTTCATGAAAGACAACTAAAAATTATTATAGCTTACAGTCTAACAGAAGAGATAATAGCAGAAGATAGCATAGATTAAGGAGAAATAATATCTCTATTAACATAGTAACTTTTCTACAATCTACTGTTAGAGAGAATATAAGAGAATAAAGATTTAAGATATATAGTAGAACAACAGATCAAAAGAAAAATACAATGCAACAATATCATAAAGTATCACCAAGCAGCTATTGTATATACAAATAACACAATATAGATTGTAAATAGTAAAAAACAGCTAATAGAAATATTAAAAATAGCAGAAGAATTTTATAAAATGAATAATATAGAAATAAATAGATCCAAGTCAAGCTGTTAATAATAAACATGAAAATAAAAAAAGAAGAAAAAGAAGTAATTTTTGAAGAAAGCAAGATAACAGAAGAAGCAAAGAATAAGATAGTTTACTCACTAGAGATATGGCTAAATAATAAAATGAGTGAAATGCTAGTCAGAAAGAAAGCTAAAGAAATAATTAGCCAAACAATAAGAGATCTTAGATACAAAAAGATGTCGATGAGTCTGATTGCATATATAACAATATGGTAATAATATCAAAATTAAGTTATATACTATAGCTAACAAAAATGTTAAAAAAAAATATAAGCAAAATACACTAATCATAATAAGTTTAGCAAAGCAAAAAAGCAACCTAAAAAAAACATTAGAAAACTGCATAATAGAACACAAAGATCTTGAAAGCTGCAAAACATTACATCAAGAGTTAATAACAAAACAAATAAGTGGCCTATTAGCAAGACTAAACAAACAAGATAGTCTTGGTTAGTTAACAAAATTAAGAATAATACAAGGGTGCCAAAGAGCAGGTTTAACAAAAGATATATGAAAAATAGAAAAGATGCCAGAAAATATAAAAGGTTAGAAAAGTAACTTAGCTTGTCTAACATTGCTAAAAGCAAGAAAACTTAATATAAATATAAGAATGAAAGACAATCTATAAACAATGTTTAGATATAGAATCAAAATAAGAGAACTTATAGATACACAATTACAAAAAAAAACTAATACTAGAATAAATGAAGCAGGCTTAATATATCCAAGCCAGCTAATAGATGCAAAAAGAGAGAGAATAATTACATGTCAGCAGCTAAAAAGTTACCAAGACCTATCAAGTAAAGAAAAAAAAGCAGAATAATTTAAAGCAATAAAACTAGAAGTGCTTATTAGACCAGAAAATAAAGAAGTAAAAGACAATTTAGAACAATCAGGCAAACACTCAAGTGATGCAAATGAGATAGGAGTATATCTCAGAAGACAAAAGAAGAAAAGAATGAGTAATGTATAATGTACAAAACAATTGATAATTAGGAAAGATAGTCAAGAAGAACAAAAAAATACTAATAGAACATTGGCAAATGCAGAGTAAAGAAAGTGAATTAACTATCAAAATTAACAAATGTAAAGATTGTATAAGAGAAGAAGAACACTACAAAGATAGTTGCCAATAGTAGATAAGAGTAAATAACAGAATCAATATAATTTCAGATGTATTGATAAAAAAAGACAGCAACAAAATCAAGATAGCAATAGATTAAATAACAAAAATGATAAAAACAAACAAACTAATGACAAGAGAACAGAAACTTGAAGAACTAAGAATAATAGAAAAGCTAGAAGTAGAGATAATCAGATGACAAAAGTTAAAAGGTAGCATTAGTTAAAAAATAAAAGAAGTTTTAAGAAGAAATATAACAAGAAACAAGAACAAGTATATAATATATACAGATGAAGCAGCAAACCCAAAAACTAAAGCAGACACAAGAAGCAAAAGTAGTATGGGCATAGAGTGAGTACAAACAGACAAAACACAAGAATGGCCAGAAAAAGAGATAGCATTAGATTTAGAAGAATGGCAAACATCAACAATAGCTGAGTTAGTAGCAATATGGGTTGCAATTTTAATGATACCAAAAGAGAAGCAAATAGAAATATATACAGATAGCAATGCAATAATAAGAAACATTAGTAGAGGTTTAGAACAAGTATGCAAAAATAAGATTCTCAAAAAGAAGAATGCAATATGGATAATAAAAATTAGAGAGCTTATTAGGACAAAAAATATTTAGATAGAGTTGATTAAAGTTAAGAGCTATAATAAAAATAGATAGAATAATAAAGCTGATAGTTTAGCAAAAAAAGGTGCAATAAGTAAAGAAATTATACAGGTTAAAAAAGTCAGTTGTAAGAAGATAGAATATTGCTTAGAGTGGGAAAACAAATATACTGACATATTAGCAAGACTGCTCAAAATGATAATAAATGCAAGATTAGGAGCAGAATGAAAAGAAACAAAAACAATCAAAGAATTAGAACCAGAAACAGAAGTTATGATTTACAATTAAACATACTTTTGGAATAGACTGAAGATATCTAAAAGAGTACATCACACAACAAGAAGAAGTAGTATCAAAAGAAGTGCATTTATAAAATGCATAATGAATAAACTTCTAACACTAAAAGAACTAAACAAAAGAAGATCAGAGTTATATACAACAACAGAGTGCCAAATGTGCTAAGATAAAACAAAATAAATATAGGCATATTTGGCAGCATGTACAGAATAAAGGAATCTGTAGAAAAGAATTCAAAAAGTAACCATCACAACAGCCTAGAAAGAGTTAAAGGAAGAAGAAAAAGTTTGAGTCTCCCTATATGTATTACAGTTAGGGAATTTACCAAATTAGGAAATCATATTCTAGAACGATCTATGAGTAGATTCTTAAATTTGATTGGCTCTTATGTGCCTTTTATTCCTCAAAAGTTGCATGTTCAAAAATTTTTTTTTTTAATAATTATCAAAACCAAATAAGCTTTGAGTATATAGTTCAAGACATCTAGTTTCCATCATCCCAAAGAATCCCTCATAGTAAACTTTTTGGATAGAAATAAATGAGACACTAAAAATAGGTATTTATTTCATATAAAATGTTTAGATTAGTTGTCAGTTCATTTAAGATTGCTTTAAAATTTTGTGTCA